AAGATTATCTTATCACATTGCTTTAATGCGTGTAAATATTAGCCATTTGACTTATTGTGTGGCAAGTCTGGCTTATATTGTAAAGTGGATAGAACGAGACGGTTCAGTCGCGTAGGTTGTCCTTAGGTCTTCCGAACTAAACCTTCCGGACCTTTTTTGTGAGGCTTTTTAAATAGTCGAAGAGTTATTTATCTCCAATAGAGATAAACAATTTAACAGACTGACGGTTGCAAGTAGAAAATATTTGTCAAATAGTTTGCAATAAATCATGTTTTTAATGAATCTTAAAAAGCACAAAATTCTATGATACAAAGATGCAAAATTTCTAATTATATAGAAAGATTGACACATACAGTATGTTTTATAAAAAACAAAAATCAAGAAATTGAAGCTGATTTTCAATTTAAAAAAAAAATCTATCATATAGAATATAAAACGATAAGACCAAACAAATCTTGATATTCCTTTCATTGAGATCTTTTCAAGAAGTTTGTGGTAATCGTTACCTTCAACTTATGGACACCGCAAATCTCCATTTTTTATCATGATTTCTCGAAAGTGGTTTTTCCGAAAATACGACCTAAAGTAAAGATTAGTGATCTTCACCTAAATTTTCAGACTTTTGTTCCGTTGCTATTTCCAATTTCCATTATGTTAAATCTATACAATGTCCGTGATTTTTCCGGCAACACGGCGACCGCAACTTTTTGTAGATTGCGTGTTTATAAAAACAACATTGCGGTAACAAAAGGGTTGCAGCAAAAAAAGAAAGTTTTAAGGGATAATTTTCATAGATCTTAAGGCAATGATGTAGATGCTAAATTATATTTCTCTTTCAGTATTTTAGAAAGAGAAAAAATTAATTTCTTCTCTTATTATCTAAAAAAGATATTTTTAATTTTCTTTATTTCATAATGTTATTCTTTATGAAAAAAAAAAATGCGTTTGTTACATTTTTTATAATTTCTGTATTTATATGTAAGCGATTGCGCAATTTTCAAATGAATATGCGACATTCAAATTCTTCTAATTCTTCTAATTATTTATCCTAATTCACATCACCTGGCATATCTTAATTTAACGCAAGAGGGGAAGACGCAGGTTTTCATTAGTAAAAGCGAAACAAGCCGCGTAAGTATAAAAACTGATTTCGAAATTAGATAGGGTGCTGGCACGTGTGTTCATTATGATGGCTGCGAGTGACAGGTGGGCCTTAAAAAACAAAAGGCTCGTGTACACGGTTGGTATTTTCCATTCACTCGTCGACTCATGGCCAAGCGGTGTGTAACGGCAATAATGAAGTTGCACGGTTATGTTAATTGAGAAGTTAAACAGAAATAGGAGCATTAAACACGTTGGCCCGTAGAATTCGTTGATATCCGGCGGCGATGCAGTTAATGCTCATTCAGTTACGTGATAAATGCGGGCAAAGTTTGTGCATTATGTCTTAAATCAATTTAATTGAGCTAACGCGCTTCGTTTTTTTTACAGGTTAGGTCGCAATTATTAAACCCTAATTCGAATATACATCCGATCGTTAATCGTAACACGCTTTATTTTATCTTCTTCAATCTCGTTATATAAATTAACATGGATCATTTAAGTCTCATGTATTTATCTATGCGAATCTTTAGCGTCGTTTTATTCAGCGAAAGATTTTCTATCTGTTCGTGTGGCGAATTACTGAAAATACTCACGAGAAATGTCTCGCGTGCGCAAAATTCGTTGTACGCACGATATCAAATCGAGGAATAATAATAATCACGCGCACGTGGATGTTTTAGCATAAGTCTGAAAAAGGGCCTGTCGTCGCAGCACGACATGACGCATTTGATGCGGTGTTTAATAGATCGTAAAGAACGCTCGAGTGTCACGATAAATATAACAACTCGCGATGCTGCTGAATGTTCGTGTCTTAACGCTTCAAGCGTGATCACTTCCACGTCGGGCAATAGTGCGAATTCGCGTGCGTGACTAGTGTAGTTACTACCATATGTACACATGTATATGCGTTACGTCGCATAGGAAGACACGCGCGTGGAAACTTAAATTTTTAATTATAACATTAATTACATTAATAACAATAATATACACATATGAGAAATTTATATTAAATTACAAAAATTCTTAATTTATTTTTATATATGCACAAAATCTTCCGCAGAGTTTATATTATAATTTGCTTTATGCGGTTGACAAGTTGGAGATTTCGCAGACGTCTCTGCCAACTAATTATTATTGCAAAAATGATAATGAGGAGATGAGGACTAATTACCAGTGATTTTGCATATCGTACTGTGTACACGTATATGTATACGAATAATAAGAGGAATGCGAACTGCCGCGTATATGGTCGCGACAGAGAAAGGAAGAGAGGAAACGACCAGATCCCCGAGACTCTGTCTCTGGCTCCAAGGATCGATTCGTTGCTTTCCAACGCGAGTAAACCGCCGAATCTGCTCTCCTGTATTTCTGCTTCCCCCTTTCTTCGTACACATGCCACTCTTTTTCTCCGCCCTCGAGCGCTCCATGCTTTCTAACAACCTGCTACACCGCGTGCTGTTGTGTCGGATGTTTTATCCTCTGTCGTGCCTTCCGAGAAAAAAATTCCACGATAATATTTTATAGAAGATACAGCAGTATATAATATATCGCACTTTCTAAGGTGCGGTAAAATTTAATATTTCTCATCTTGCGATAATAAAAAACAAGGTCGAAGAAAAACTCGAAAAAAGACTCGCGTATATAGAAAAATATAAAATTATTATAGAATAATGGCTGGATTATTTGTAGAATGATTGTTTAAAATATATTGTTAAGATAACCATGGTCTTTCTACATTATACATGATTAATTACATATTACGTTAGCGAGATCGTTATGAAAGGATTTAGTGTAATATTTATATTGATAGATTTTAATTTACTGCATTGTTAACAAATATTCCTACTCTCTTGAACAAATGGGTGTGGATTTTATCAAAACTTTTATATTATTAGCAATATTAATGACCACGCAATTTACTGAAATATCGTCAAAATATACTCGTCAAAGCAGATTTGACATAAGAAAAAAATTTAGATCTTTATAAAAGAAGCTTTGTTTGCTGGGAACAGCTACGTTTTTTGAAACCTTCTGTATATGGACACGTAGGTGTGGCTTGTGACATGAGACAGAACTAGCTCGTATTTTATTTTGAGTGTCAGACTCCCTCTCTCATGATCTCGAACTCTGCGTGAGAGCGATATGTCCGTCGAAGATGAAAAAAGGAGAAGAAAGCGAAGGCGAGACGTTGTTCATTTCGATGATGGCATGAAGGATAGGACTTGCGGAACGAAAGTTCAAAGGAAGATATATATGTTATCGGTCGCACGATTCCTATTAAAACCAGCTTATAAAAGTCTACGACTTTGACATTCGTAAAAATCAGAAAGATCAAAAATTGCATGAGTCCATCCTTTTTCTTTCTTCTAAATTTAGCTATAGATAAATTTTTTATAGCATTGGGTACAAGAATAATACGGAATAAAAATTTATCACACACATATTTTAGTTTATTAAATTTCAATTAAATTAAAAAATAAATAAATCCAAAAAAAAAAAATTTAATTTAAATAAAAATGTGCAGTATTTTTAATTCAATCGTTTATTAATTTTTTTCTATAAAATAAAGAAAAAGCTGTTATTTTAATTTTTTAAATAATCTGCGTTATATACATATATTTTATACATTTTTATTTAAATTTATTATATTAAAAATTGCAAGATTTAATAATCCTGCGGCATCCTTTGTTATTTGAACCAATCATAGAAGAGTCACATTTTATTTAGCAAGGGATAAAGCTAAAGTTCTTTAAGAACTTATTGTTAGAAAAGTTTATTCGACGTTTTAGATTTCTTCAAGTGTGAAAAGGTAATATCTTTCTTAGATTTTCGATTTCAAGAGCGAGAGCAGTCTTTTGGCTTAATAAGGATAATAGAGATGAATTTGCACACAAATTTAATTTAATTTGAAAAACATAGGAACACGTAGGAAGGTCTCTTACTTTGGACATTGCTAATTATTTGAAAATTGTATATGTATACATCGATGAAAATAATTTATTAGTACAAGTATAGCATAGTACAATATATACAAAGAAATTTAAAATTAATATTCTTTCGTATATCTTTAGTGGATTATATTATTGAGTGCAAAATATTGATAAAATTTTACAATGATAGGAAAAATAAATAAAATATGTATATTTTAAACATTTTAAATAGATATATGATATTAAAATGCACTTTGCGGATGTAGCTATGTGTTTCTCGCGCACCCAGTACATCGCGGCATTCGAATCGAAATTCTCGTACGCTGGCGTTGGTGGGGGTTGTTCGGCGAGGCGCGCCAGAGCAAAAGCTCTCAGTTACTCCTAGCATAGTGGGGGAGAGTCGCGTATCGGGAGTGGTGCCGGAGTTCCCGGCGTTCTTTTACCGGGTGAGCGTACCGCGGTTAGCCGATGGTGGGGGTCGAATCGTATCGAGTGGCGTTCGAAAGGGGGACCGGGTGAGGAGGGGTGGAGCGTGCAGTCTGCGCGACGGAACGACCGGCTGAGTGCGCGGTACGTCCCATCCGGATATCACGAGCCTCGTTTCACCAACGTGGTCCATTGTTATGTGCTCGAAAAGTACCGGCGGAGTACATTGTTGGCGGCACGCACGCGCGCACGACCTCCTTTGGTGACCTACGTCGTCGATGTTTGTCCTCACCGTCGTCGGGGCTTCGTACGCGCCGAACGGCCGCCGGCCTTTTTGAAGATTCCGCGCAAATTGCCCGGGGACCAGGGCTATCAATGGTCGACCTTCGCGGCGGGGCACACATCGTTTCACCATCTCCTCTCCCTTTCTTTCATCACCCTCGATTCATCGCCTTTGTTCTCCGATATCGATGAGCGCGCCATTTAATTGTCCTGTGCACGCCACACATGTTCGCTCCTCATCGGCACGCTCGTGAAAAATTTCAGGGTATTCAGTGAGGAAAATTTGACAGTTCTAGCGGTACGAAGTGATGATATTATCATGACCCGGTACTCTTTTTGGTGATAGTGAGGATCATGTAGAGAACGTACGAATCTTCGCGGTTGTCAGGTACGAAGAGACCAAAAGTGAAAGTGATTAGAATTTTTCTAGTGTCAATCTAATAGCTTTAGTTTGTCAAATTTTAAAAAAGTCTCCAGCAGAAGGTTCTATAATATATGATCATAATAGATGATCCGCTGAAACTCAAGGTATGATTTATTTATTTTTATGTTTATCGTTATTGTTTCATTGAATTTAATATTAAATTTATCGAAAATAATATTTCTAATATAAACAATAAATACTTTAAATATATGCTGTATGATAATGATAGGAAGACAAAATATATAGAATGGTACATACATATTATATTGATATATAGGATACAATATTCACACATGCCATGATTTAATTATTAATTTTTTAATGACAAGTTTATCATATACTATACAGAAAATATATTCTAAGGTTGAAGTATAAATAAATATTGGAAAATTATATCGTATATAAATATCTTAATGACTAAAAATGTTTACTAGAGACGATTAATATTTACATAATATTTTTATTTGTTTTAATGTGTATAGGTACAATCTGTAAAGTGTTAACGTGTATTTATAAATCTTTATACATGTCGCAAATGTATAGCGTATTGTTCACGTTTGTCACGTTAGGAAAATATCTTATTTTAGCGTATATATTAATTTATATGAAAGTGTAAATGCTGAGATTAATGTGTCTTGATATATCACGAAGAATCCATGAGCGGGAAGGTCGGGGAAAAAATTGAGCTGTCTCAGGCGTGGGTCGGCGGGCACAGTCGCCCGTTAGACTTTCTCATTAGTTAGTTTGCTCTACCAATTAGAGAGTAGTTCTCGAGATGGGACACAGAGTCACTGTGCAAAGCGCCGTGAAATCTGTGTGTATAACGGTACGAAATTTTCAGAATTGCGACATGCTCTCGTAGGGAAAAATGTTTTTGATTCGTCATTTTGCCTGTACTTGGATAAGTTATTTGCTAGTTAAATACCGCGCTTTTATGCGCTAAATTGTATAAGAGTCAGTTTCTTCACGGGAACTTTGAATTCGTATTATTGTACATAATACGTAAATTGTACATGAATTACAGTTTTATATGATATAAGGAAGAAGACGCGTGAGTTTTATGTGATTTTCATGTAGGGTATTGCGCTGCATCATATATTTTATCACTGCATCGCACTTTTTGATATTAGCTTAGAATTGTATCGTAACATACACGATCGGTTTTATTTAACTTCATGATATTTGCAGATACGCGATGAACAGGATATAGATGAAGACGAATACATACATATACACAATAGTATATATATGTATACTTAAGGATTATAACGCGTTAGGCATTTAATATGTTAGACAATGAAATTGAAAGTGTAACTGTGGGAAATGATTTATTAGTCTTGCTCTTGGCTACGTTAATACAAATATAATCTACATGTTGTGAACTGTCTTTCTCTCTTGTATTTACTTGCTAAAGATTTTCTCAACTTGGACACGTTTATCAAATCAAAGATTATCTTTGTATCAAAATTAATTCTTATCTCTTCGAACAACTATTTTTCTAGTCGTTTTTTTTAATGAGAGAAAGTGAGACAATTCGATTTTTTACAGACTGAATATTTTATAAATTATTGTTGAAGATGTAAATTATAGGATTAATAGGATTATCGGATATAAATTAGAATTCTCTTCTAATTTTTTTCATCGGATTCAAACTTTGCATAAGTTCATACAACAACATTGTGGACAAAAATTACTTTGTTAATGAGACCAGTAAATTTGTTTAAAGTGTTAAACTTATGTGCGTATGCAGAATCACCAACCGCATAATCGCACTATATAATAATCATTACAATTACGACCAATGTAATAGTGCTCACTTGTCAGGCTCCATAAAGTCTGGTTATTATTTTGCTCATAAACACCTGCACTCATGTCAGTATTCCCCGCGTATATCTTCGTATATATTTGGCTTTCCGGTCGCGTATATTAACTGCGTTAGTCACTTAAGATAATCGAAGACAGATATTACAGAGATAATTGTAATTGAATGTTATACATATATCATCTGATATGCTCTGATTTATTTTTAGTTATATTACTTTTAAAATTTTGTTTCTTTAATTTTAGATAAAATCATAAATCGGAGATAAATAAGCTTATTAATCAAATTGATCATCACGACGAACGGAATACGAATTTATTATGCTTCTTTATAAGAGTTTAGTAAAATATATAAAGTGTATAAAAAGAATGTATGTGGCATGATTTATAATTAATTAACATAAATATTTATCACCGATCTCTTTCGTGTCTACATTAATTTATAATTCTAATTAATTATTGAAATATTGAAAAACTGTGCTTCCTTCATCGTTCTATTTCAAGTACCTAAAGCAAATAGAAATTAGTCAATCTTCGTTATTGACTCGTGGTCTTATCACAGACTGACGTCACCTCGAGGGTTTCACTTATCTTCGAACTTTTTTATTCATACATGTACTCGCGAGAGAATCTACGTTAGAGCGTGTATTATCAACCACGTCGACACGCGGCTAATAGATTTGGCGAGGTGAGCTTGGAAATAAAGCTTTTAAACAGGAATGCGTGAAATCTTTATTGCCATCCATGAAGTAGTAAATAATCCGCGGTACGTGATGGAAATTATCTTTAATTTTCACGCAATGTTTGAGAGTTTATATAACTCAATGTCTACAGTTGTAGACATAGCATATTTCCTGCTTTAAGCATATTTTTTGCGAAAACCGAGTGATAAATATATCATGTAAAAATGTAAATTAAAACAGAATCAAAATGTTTTACACATGTTTTAATAAATTATATTGTCACCCATAGGCATCACTCTTCTCAAAACAAATTCATGTCGTATTTTCTGTCATTGTCTCAGGATAACGTCTTCAAAGTTTTAAGCATCAGGTAGTTATTTCATTCAGTGTTTCACACTTGTGTCTCTACAACTCTACATGATAAAGTAATTTGCACGCTTCAGCCATTCTCATAGGTATATTGCACATATACCTATTTAGCTTCCTGGTATCGGTAATATATTTGTAGCTTCAATCTCCTATGGGGTCATTCGCTACGATTTAAAGTCAATAATCTTGTTACAACTCACTACCGTTCACTTTTAAGAGAATAGTATACATAACCTCATGGTAAGAGACACGATAAACCTTAAGTGTCGGTTTGCACGGTAATTCCTTCCTCCGTCAACCATTATGAACGGTCGTTATCACATTACCTATTGACCTTATGAACAGGTGAAAGATGATTCTTGCTTCTTGTTTGTCACAGTGATATCTTGCTCTAAATAAACTATTTTAATTGATAGCAAATATTATCCGAACTTTGCCAGTATATTAAGCCATACTGTTATTATTGAATTTTTAATGCTTCGTTAACAACGATATAATATTGATTATGCATGAAGCAAGAAACCCTCCCCAAAATGATAGATAAAATTACACACGAATATTCTTGTTTAGGCAAAATAGATAATTTTGACAAAAATCGATTACTTTGAATTTTACTTTGTCTTTGACAGATTGTATCATTGTTTAATTATAATTTTAATCCAAATTAATTTATAAATTGAAGAATATAATAATGTTTAAATTGAATAAAATGGTATAATCGAAATTATTTTAAGATTGTAGCATTTTTCTATAGTCTTATCTTTGATCCTTGATTTACAAATTTTTGAAATTTATCGCACTGTTGATACAAATTTCGATGCACCGATGAGATAATTTATAATTTAAAATAAACAGAGATTTAAAATTTTTAATTAAAAATGAATTATAGATTATGGAAATCATCTATAAAAATAGTATTATTAGAGAGGACCTCTCACACTAATGCTATGTATTAATTATAAATTATAATTTCGAGCATTCCATTTGATTCAATACAACTTATGCTTCACTTTTTCCAACGCCATACGAAGTGAAGCCAACCCGAGTATAGTTCACTATTCTGTAGCAGCCATGCTGAAATCCATGATGGCCGTCTTGCGTTCCATAACGCCTCTCCTCTGTGGGAATGGCACCAATAGCGCCTGCAAAACTTTCATTCGCCATCCCTACCTGTGCTCCTGTGTCGACCAACCCCACTATATTCTCCGTTTCCTTAACATCTATGTTTTCTCCCTCTACCAGAGCATCTTCGACGGCCATCATGGTTTTGTGCGTGCGCACACGTCTGTTTCACTAGACTCACGAGAGTATCACTGTATAGAATGCGGTAGCCTTCAGAAGTTCCTGTATATGTCTGTGTACGAGTTGAAAATTTTTAATATTTTTCCCAGACAAAAATATTCCTTCAATTATGAGTTCGATTAAATTTTTTCTAAAATAATTTTTAGATTTTTTCTAAATAAATAAATAAGTAATTTTACTATAGCTTTTAAATGTGCGCGATTCAGGTTTCGTCGTTTACACAATTACCAAACATTTATATCAAATGTCAGAAAAATATTAAGAATTATTTATAGCTTACTATAAATTATTACTAAATTTAATGAAAATTATTATTAACAATTATATATAATATTTAATATACTGCTATACAAATTTTATCATTAATATTATTTTTGTGAAAGCAGTGTTATTATACCTCAATAAAATCATTGTTTTTATATCTTTTTTAAAGTACACATGTTAAATATCTTACCTGTATTTTGCTTTCATCAGCAGCAGGTAAGAGGTTTATTTTACCTATGTGAGATCTCAAAGTTTCTGCTGGTAAGGAAGAAAATGCTACTTCCGGTTTCGACACAAACATCTTTCCGGAACTTATCAACTGAGGTTTTAGTCACGTAGTTACGAAATGTACCACGATTTAGGCTTAGAAACGCGGTCGTACTTATTTTGAATATATAATATATTTTTAAAGTAACATTTTTAATACACAATATTTTCAATGTCTCTATTATATATACAAAGTATATTGTATATGTATATCCAAACAAATCGTTATATCTAAAACTCTGATTGGACACAGATATAAACTTATACAAATATATTCATATTTATATATTTTATTTAATAAATGTTACAAATAATACATGAGCACATCATGAATAGAAATATGTCAAGAAATATATAAAAAGGAAAAATGCATTTTTTTATGTATTATACGACGAAAT